GTCCAAAAAAACTGCAAAGTTCGGTAAAGTACAAACTGAGTAGGAGAAGCTTTACCTACAACTTAATATTATCCAAGGATACTCAATAGATTCAGAGAAGGATTAGGACTGCATGAAACTTTGGAATAGGCGATTAAAATTAAGGCAAAGTTGTTCCTAAGTACAAGAGAAGCTGTGCATATGCTTTTTAAAAAAAAACCCTTCGCTTCCATTACTTCTAATAATAACCAAGGTACTCACTTCCGCCGTCGTAAGAGTCTGTTCCGGAGTCTTTTTCCTCCCGCCCTTTCGAAATGAGGGGAAGCTGCACAGAATCTTGTTTTCTGACGCGGCGACTTCCTGTTCGTTCAGTCTCATCAGACCTAAACAAAATGAACTATTACAACAAATATTTTCTACGTAGATTCAACAAACGTGGAAGGAGATGAATTGATCTTGGGAAGGAGCAACGAGTTCCATGATACGACGGTGTGAATATTTTTGAGTGGAATTAGATGATAATGGAACTGATTCTTTACTATCCTGTACTCCTGTTCGAGTTGTTCGCGATCTTTGTCTGGAAAGACTGCACTACATTTACTTGTAAGACAGCAATTCACGTAAAACTCTACCATCTAATCGGCCTTCAATCAATTTTTCGGCAAGCATTTCGTATTTAGTTAACTTTGACATAGAGCTGTCCGTCTTTTGCATTATCATAGATTGTATCGCGAGATCATTTACAGCTGAGATTCCTGAAAATAAACTCATTCTAGATGGGACGGGCTGATAACTCTCAGAAACTCAGATTCGATGAAGCAATTTGAATAACCATTGAAGAGAAATGAGCTTTGGAGCAAGGAGCGTTAGACGAGAGGAAGACTATGGATAAAAATTTATATAAGCCTTAGTAGTTTTGAAACATTGATTCAAATGCTCGTAAAAGGTTGCAAATGAAGCTACAAGGTTGGATTTTTTTTAAAAAGTTATTGGATTCAGCTCATCCCCATCTTCCCCCCTTCCCCCGCCCTTACGAAGAATATGAATGTCTTCGTATGTTCACAAATGAAACTTTGATGCCATCGACCAATATTCGAAGTATAAACTTGCACTGACTTTCTGCCTGCATACTATCCATCCTGACAACGAGATCTATTAATTCCTTTTGCTCCTTCGACTGTGCTAATGATCGTAGCCTTCCTTCAATAGTTTTCGCTGTATCTTGTCCTTTGCGTAAGGCTTTCTCCAACTTTTGTCGGATGTAGACCATTTGGTTCAATCGTTCATCCTGCAAGTCAGAGGATTACCTCAAGATGATTAGTTCAATTCATTTTTAAGGATGGC